TAGTAGTCGTAGTAGTAGTAGTAGTAGTAGTAGTAGTAGTAGTAGTAGTAGTAGTAGTGGTCGTCGTAGTTGTTGTCGCAGTCGCAGCCGTAGTCGTTGGAAGGCAGGCGGCGCGGAGGACAAACGAATCGCGGAGGGTATCGTACCAGAGGGAACGGGGAGAATGTTGCAGGGTATTTTTGGATATTGTTGGGTAGTGCTCGCAACCACGGGATGGTGACGTTCCCCAGCTGTCGAAGACACGCGGCGCAATTGGAAGACAGCATGCAGTGAAATGGTGCTGCCCTCTGCGGAAGTTGTTCCCTTAGACGGGCACTGGTGCGTGAGATGATAAGGATGACGAAGCGATGGAGAAGGATAGTGAGGAGGTGGGTGAGGAATCCACAAGGGTAGCTTACATCTAACCCTTGCACGTCGATGCACAGATGTACACAAATGTCTGGAGCACGGAAGATACGGAGGAAAGGGAGGAGACGGATCATGGGAAGGAGGGGGAGGGGAGATGGAGCAAGAGGCGGGATAGGGAGGACGAGGAGGGATGGTGAGAGAGGGTAAATGGTGGGATGGATAGTTCCGCACCGCGATTGCCGCCTTGTTGCGTGCACCTGCACTGAGGAGAAGGAGGAGAGGGACGATGATGATGATGATGATGTCGATGATGATTATGATGTTTCTGCGGATACTGATGATACTGATGCTGCTGCTGCTGCTGATGATGGCTCTGATGATGCTGGTGATGTGGATGATGCTGATGATGATTATGATGGTGGTGGTGGCGATGATGCTGGTGATGGTGATGGTGATGGTGGTAATGATGATGCGGATAATGATGCTTGTGCAGATGCAGATGATATGCTTTTAATGATGATGGTGATGATGATGATGATGATGATGATAATGATGATGATGGTGATGCTCATGCTGCTGACGATGACGGCAACGACGGCGAGGACGATTACGATGACGATTACGATGGTTAGGATGTTGATAATGATGCTGATGTGAGTGATGTTGATGCTGATGAGGATGATGATGCGGAGTATGATGCTGATGATGATGCTGTTGGTGATGGTGATGCTGCTGATGCTGATGCGGATGCTGATAATGATGTTGATGATGTTGCTGCTGCTGATGATGATGATGAAGATGATGCTGATGCTGATGATATTGATGCTGATGCTGGTGGTGGTGGTCGTGGTGAGGAGGAGGACGACGAGGGAAAGGAGGAGGAGGAGGAGGAGCCGCAGGGGGTAGAGGAGGTCCCGAGTGGTCGCAGAGCACGCGGCGAGCTGAGGGGAAACGTCCGACTCTAGTCGCTGGCTAGCTGTCGGTGCCCCCCGCGTATGCAGCTCGCCTCCGCGAAGAACGCGGAGCAGATGGCGAAGACGTTGAAGCACCCGAACATCTTACGGACCACGGCGGGCAGGCGGGAGAGCGAGCGCATGGCCGCCCTGAGATCCGGGCCTCGCATGTTTTTCACACCAGGCTCTTTCGCCAGCTCTTGGGCCCTCGGGCCCTTGGAGATGAGAGCCGCAGAAAGATGGGGCCGAAGGGCCCGGCGTCATCGTCCATTGTGTTTTCATCATGGTTTTAGATCTCAGGGTGCTGGGGGGTCCTGAGGGCAAGTGGCCCTGAAGTTTTGTATCTTTTTCTGTCTCCAGGGACCCTTCCTCGCAGACGATATACCTTTCCCTCAATCGCCGAGTTCACCCCTCAAGAGTTGTCGCTCAGAAAGCAAGGGGAAACTCGGGGATACGCACGTAGCGGGCTATTCACACGTACGCCGATCGAGATCTATCGAGAATGGGACTCCCGAAGACCTCTACAGACCACCTTGCGACGCTCGCCGTCGTCACCGCCCCAGTCGTCGACGGGAATCGGGAACGTGTCTGCGGAGCAGTGGGATGCATTCGAGGGGATGCTGTTGATCGTCGACGGCAGCCACGTTCGCACTTGTAAGGATAGCGCTACTCCAATGCTGGCACGATGTCTGTGGCTAGCGCGCGGGGGCGGTGAAAATTTTACCATTCTGAGGAGATCGCACTGTGACAAGCGCCCGAGAAGATGGAGCTGCATGGAATTCATTTGCGTTTCAGGACATTGTGACGAGGCTTCTAAGGCAAATGTAATCCGTTCCAGATCGTTGCGGGACGCTTTCGGAGCGTTCTCGTTCTGGAGCGCTGGGGAACAGCCGCGGCGCACGGCAAATCCTCCAAGCCTGCCATGCTCAGAGATTTATGACTTGCCTCGCTCCGTTGTTCCTGGCTTCGTCTCAAGAGTCGTTGGCGAGCGAGGGGGGGAAGTGAGAAGGAGAAGGTCTTCTCAGAAGATCCAGAAGTCCCCAAGCCTTCTGAGAAGTTTTCTAAGCCTTCCCCGAAGACAGAAACAGCTTCTCAGAAGGTGCGAGGGCTTCTGGGAAGTCCCGCCGCCTTCTGAGAAGGCCTTCTCCTTCTCATTCCCCCCCCTCGCTCGCCGCCGAAAGAGAATCAATCGCCCAGAGGACGCTAGACTCCATCGAGATCGAGGGCGGCTTCTACATTGTGACGGAGCCTTGCGTCCCCCTTCTGTCCGACGAGGCGGCGGACCCCAGCTCCGACAGGGAGCCAGCCGTTTGGGGCGTCTACCAGGCGTGCTTCCTCCCAGCTGCAAGCCAATCAGTAGCGAAGCGTCCTGACTCCCTTATAGGTCTACCATAGAATGTTCTAATAACCTTGTGGTTTGCACGAAATTGTCTTTGAACATTTCTGGCGGAGTCTGTCTTGTTTCAACATATCGGGCTTATGCTCTAATATGATTGTTTTGTTCTTAGAACAGTTTGGGGTTCTAAGAATGTTTCGTGGTAGGCTTATAGAACTGCCGGGACGGTCGGTCCCTGCTCAAGCAAGGAGGGAGAGAGGGAGTCCCAGACTTATTTGCGTCGCGAAAATCAGCACAACGACAGAGGGTGCTTGTCTATTTCTGGCCTCTTGGGGTTCTCACAGGGCCCCGGCTCCGTCAACAGAAATACCCAGGGCGAAAAAGGTTTCCCCGTGAGGATGTCCAGACTTACACGGGCTTACATCGTGGGAACATTGCCCTGGCGAAGGAAGGGCCCAACCATATACAGTTGTGAGTACCGCATGCGGGTTGTGGGGGAGACGCATGCGATGACGGCCGCTGTAACCTTCGGTGGAGCTCCTGATGGGGCCACGAAGCTTGTGAGGGGCGTGCCGAACTGGGCGGAGGAGGCGCGCGCGAGGACGACCGCAGGGACCTTCGGTGGAGCCCCCGATGGGACCGCGAAACGTGTGAGGGGTATGCGGAAGTTGATGGATCGGACGCATGCAGGCGGCGCCCCTGGGACCTGCGGTGGAGCTCCCTATGGGGCCACGATCCGTGGGAGGGGTGTGCCGACATGGGTGGGTCGGACGCATTCGGGCGGCGCCCCTGGGACCTTCGGTAGAGCTTCCCATGGGGCCACGATCCTCGTGAGGGGTGTGCCGAAATGAGTTGGTCGGACGCGTGCGGGCGGCGCCACTGGGATCTTCGGTGAAGCCACCCATGGGGCCACGCATGCGGGCGGCGCCCCTGGGAAATTCGGTGAAGCTCCCTATGGGGCCACGATCCTCGTGAGTGGTGTGCTGAAATGAGTGGGTCGGACGCATGCGGGCGGCGCCCCTTGAGCCTTCGGCAGAGCCACCTATGGGGCCACGACCCTCGTGGTGAGGGGTGTGCCAAATTGGGTGGGTCGGACGCATGCGGGCGGCGCCCCTGGAACCTTCGGTAGAGCTTCCCCTAAGGCCGCGTTCCTCGTACTCCTTGGAACCTCTTGGGAGCCTTGGGGGCCCCTGGAGGCTTCTCGGGGGCCTCTTTCAGGCTTCTTGGGGCCTCGTTGGGGTCTCTTGGGTAGTCTTGGGGCGCTCTTACGCCGTCTGGCCCCTTCGGAAGCCATCTTGGGGGCCTCTCGCGGCCGCCTTGTGGCTCTCTTCGGGCCCTGGGCCGTCTTTGGGGCCTTTTGGACAGTCTTGGGGCCTCTCTGGGCCATATAGGAGCCCTCTTGGGCCGTCTTGGGCCTCTCTTGGGGGACCTCTGGGGCCGTTTGGGGAGCCATCTTGGAGGTTGCTTAGGCTGTCATGGGCCTCTGAGAGTGGAAAAAAGCGAGAACGCTAAAATATTTGGAACACCTGAGACATGTGACTTTGGCCTCTGAAGGTGCTCTTGGGGGTGCTCTTGGGACTTTCTTGGGCCGCCTTTGGGGCTTCTTGGGCCATCCTGGGGCCATTCTGACTTGTCTTGGGGCCGTTTTGGCCCATACTGAGAGTCGACGAAGACGAGAACGCTAAAATCCAGGAAACAACCACAGGAAAGTCAATGATTCTGGCATTTGGAGGCGCTCTTCGCGGTCCTCTTGGGGCCCTCTTGGGCCGTTCTTGGGGCTTCTTTTGGCCCTCTTGGGGCCATCTTGGATTGTCTTGTCTGCTGGCCGTCTCCTTGAGCCGTTGTGACGCCCTGTGAAGCCCCCCGGATGCCCAGGGGGCTCAAGTCCGGTAGTTGTTCTACAAGGTCGTGTCGGCTCTGAGGCCCAGAAAGGGGGGACCACCCTGGTCGGCGGAAGTGGCGTGGCTTTGGGGGGGATCCAAGGGGGGTATGTATTATGATGTAGTACCACACAATACAAGATGTGTCAATTCTGCAATCATTGCGTAGATTGGATGCGTTGCATTAGGTCGTTCGCCGAACAACGCTGCCGCTCAACACGCCACCTCTGGACGTCGCGTCGCGGGGTGCACGTCTGGAGCACGCACAGGTCCAGTCGTTGCGGGGAATGGTGAGGGCCTCTCTGAGGCCTCGTGGAGGCCTCTCGAGGGCTTCTTGGGGGCTTCTTTGGAGCTTCTTGGGGTCTCTTGGGGCCGTCTTGGACCATCTTTGGGGCTTCTTTGGTTTCTTTGGGGGCTTCTTTGGGGCTTCTTTGGGGCTTCTTGGGGCCGTCTTGAGGGCTTCTTGAGGGTTTCGTTGGGGCTTCTTGGGGATTCTTTGGGGCCGTCTTGGGACGTCCTTGAGGCGCTCTTGCGCCGCTTGGCCCCTTCGGAGGTCGTCCTGCGGGCCTCTTAGCCGCCACGTGGCCTCGCAGACAACCGTGTTGGGGACCTTTTTGGGCCATATAGGATCCCTTTTTGGGGCCATCTTGGGGCCCTCTTGGAGGTCTCTTGGGCCGTCTTGGGGCAATTGTGGAAGCTGTCTGGGCCATCATGGTCGTCGGAGAGTCGAGACAAGACCGCTAAAAAATCAGCAACACAAATCGAGGAGCATCCATCAATTTGGCCCCTGGAGGCGGTCTTGGCGGTCCTCTGGGGGCCCTGAGGGACGGTGAGGAGGAACAGGAGGCGGAGGAGGAGGAGAGGGGAGGGGCTCTGGAGACAACACAGTGGAGCGGAAACCACACCAGTGGGGTGGAAAACCAAAAGGCGAAAACGCCAAGGCATGAAACCAGCAATTTTGCGTACACATGATTCAGGTCACTTCTATTTCTTCTGAAGTTCTTTGAGTCTCTGGGGGGCCAAGATCTTTTCATTTCTACTTGTTCTATCCTGGGCTTATTCCTGGCCACTAGGGGGCCAGGAACAATGAGAAACGAACACACTTAGAAATGAGCACGATTAGAAATGAACGACGTGTAGATCGTGAACCACAGGCCACCGTGTCTGGGCAGTGAACGAGAAACGTGCGGCCAGCTTCGCCTCAGCGCCCGTGTCTTCTCGGTGAGGTCCTTTTGGATGCTTGCTGGAATCTCCTGGGAAGCCAGACGGAGGGGGAGAGGAAAGAGGTGGTGGGGAGACAAACCAGGAATGTAATTAAGAAAGTCACGGTAGTGGGGCGGGGAGAGTAACGGTGGAAACGCCACGACAGCAACCAGCCATTGTGCCTGGGTCGTGAGCCACGGACTACAGTTCCTGGATCATGAACCTCCAGCATGTAGCTCAAGCGGCCATTGCGCCCGTGCCTGTGGGTCAGACCCGTCAGAGAGTCTGTTGGGGTTTGGCGAGGAGCCTCTGGATGGCCGTGTGCAGACAGTGTTCAGACCTTTTGGTGGCATGTGTCGGGGGTTCCTTTGATCGTCACGGCGGCCTCTTTGGGTTTCTTGGGAGCCTCTGGGGCGCTTGCGGGCGGTGTGATGGGGTCCTTCTTAGGCGAGGAGCGCGGCAAGCATGTCGCGTTCCCCTCTCTGCACTTCTCTTGGGGTCGTGTTGGGACCCTCCTGGGGCGTCTTGGAGGCCTCCTTGTCTGTCTTTGGGTCCTCCTGGCCTGTCTTGGAGCCCTTTTCGGAGCCTTTGGGGCCGTTTGGGGTGAATTGAATCTCGAGGGCTTCCGGGATAGTCTTGTCCATTGTGCAAGTCCACGAAGCGCAGCTGCGAAAAAATACGTTTTCCGGAAGCACAGGGACGAATTTTGCGTCGGAGGGGGCTTCTTGGAAGGTGATTTGGGCTTCGTGGAGGCCTCCGAGACCGTATGGGCTTTATCTTGAGCGCCCAGAATTCGTTGTTCAGTGATCCAGGGCTCTCTTAGACAATCTGGGGTGATTCTGGAGCCGTCTCGGGGCTACCAGACAGCACTGGAAGAGCTTGCATGTTCCCATAATGCATTCGTCCGGGGCCAGTGGGGGGGGGGGGGTCAAATTCTCTGTTTTTCGGGCCCTTTGGAGGGGAGGTGCAGGGGGAGCGAATCTCACACGCCTGGAGACCCTCAAGGGGTCGGCGGGTTTTGAGGTTGGTTAGCATGGGGAGGTGGAGGAGACTGTGAGCGAGGGCCAGGCGGGAATGCTGCACGGGGAGGAGGTGGGTTGGAGCGAGGGAGCTGGGATGCGAAGTAGGTGCGCCCTCCTGTCCGCGTCCTTGCGAGCACCCTCCAATCATTTGCAGCCGATTTCTCGCCCCCCTTTTCCCAATCCCCCACCCCACAGAGCTGATCTTTTGAACAAAAAAGGGTTCGGGGGTACACGCCAGGTGGCCTATTCGCACGCACCCTATCGATGATGGACGCCCGCCATCATATACCCCCAAGTTGGGCCCCAAATTATTGGCCAGCCGAGTCCCACGAAGTCGGCGAGCGGGGTCGCCAAACACCTTGTTATCCAAGTGCGGCGGCGTAGCCCTCGCGAGCCTTTGCTTCATCACCTCGATGCCGTGAGCTAGCACCACTCGAAACAGTTCTCCCTGTTTGGGCCGTTTCAGCGCGTCGCGCGACAGGGGGGTCTCGAGGATTGAATCTTGCTGTTGATGTGTGACGGCCTGTCCTGACTGCATCATCCGAGCGTTCCGCCGGCCCGCAGTCTCCTCTCCGCGGCCGCCCCCGTCGCCCCGTCCTCCCTTCTCCCATTCTGCGGTGTCAGTTCGCCACTCTGCAGCCCAATCTCGGCTCTCTGGCTCTCTGGCGCCTCGCGTCCGCTGGCGCCGCGGCCAAAAGTCAGCGCTGAACAGAATCACTTCTGTTTCTTTATCACACTCTGTTTTTATCACACTTGTTCTTGTTCACCACGCTTTGTTTTTAATCACACCTGTTCGGACCGCAGGCCAAGGCTCAAGGAAGCTTCCAGAGGCTTCCGGGGAGGTCCACGGAGGCTTCCAGGGACCACCGGAGGAGGTGGGCGAGAGCAGGCGATGCCGGCGAGGCCCGGACCGATTCGATCCCGATCTTCGGACGGCCCCGGCCGCCGCAGCCTCCAGCGGCGCGCCGCCGCCTCGGGAGTCCCGCGGCGAGGCCCTCGACGCGCTCTCCTTCCTGCACCAGAGCGGCTTCACGCACGGGCTGATCGGCCCCACCAGCATCTTCGCCTCGGCCTCGGAGGGGGGAAGGAGGCAGAGTTAAGTCGGGCCTGTCCCTCTGCAGGAGGAATATTCAAACATTGGGAAAAAATGGTCTGGGGACAATTGTTTAATCATTTTGATTGTTTGGGGGCATTTCTGGGGTATTTTTCGTTTCGTCCAAAATCCCCCTGTAGGAGGACACGCCCGACCTAAAGGCAGAGGGATCAGGGCGATGGAGGAGAAAGCATAAGTAGAAGCTGTCGGAGATCCGTGCGGCTTTGAAGGATCTGCGCTGGAACTCCCTGTCGGCGCCTCTGGCGCCACCCCTGGCGAGCTCCGCTCGCCATGGAGGGGGGTTCCACGCACATTCACGAAATCTACGCGGACCTTTTGTTTATGGAGTTTCCCCAAACAGTGCTTGTTTTTGGGGGTTCTTATTTCTGTTCTAAGGAACTGTGCCGTGTCCTCGGTCTGGCGGCTATGTAGTTGCCGTCGCCACCCCGTCGCCGCCTGTCGTCTGGGCCGTGTCTTCGGTCTGGCGGCTATGTGGCCGCCGTCGCCGCCTCGTCGGTCCTAGATTGCACAACATAATTGTTAGACAGCGTGGACCCCACACAGTATATTTCTAGCCATATATGTGGTGCTATCTATGTGGGACAATCTACGTGGTGCACTCTGTGAAGCAATTCATGCTGTGCAATCTGTGCCGTGTAGCTATTGGGCCAATTCGAGAATGTGGTGCAATTCAGGCTGAGCAGTCTATGTGGTGCAAGCTATGTTTGGCAATCGATGTGGTAGGAGCTAACGTACTCATCCATGTGGTGTGAGCTACGTGGCGTAAGCCACGTGATGCAATGGGAGCTAGTGTGCCTAGAGGTGCGAGGTAAGAAATGTAACCTTTGTTGTGCAATATATGTGGTAGGAGCTAACGAACTCATGTGGTGTAAGCTATGTGGTGTGAGCTACGTGATGCAATCTATGTGGGTGGGAGCTACTACTCATCGAGGGCAGTTGAAATATTGCCAGTCTGCCTTAAGGAAGTGTAAGCTTGCAGTCCTATTGAACACTGGCAACGCAGGGCAATGCAAAGCGCGGCGTGGCAATACGAAGCAAGGCAAAGCAACGCAAAGCAACGCAGCGCAGAGCAATGCAACGCACAACAACGGAGACCAAGGCCATGACATGCAATGCTTTGTCTTGCCATGCAAAGCAATGCAGAGCAACGAAGACCATCGCACAACAATGCAACGCAAAGGAAAGCAACGCGACGGCGGCGGCGAAGCAACGGCGACTGGCGTCGACGTGGCGGCGATGGGGCAGCGACGGCTGGCAAGGAGCCGACAGACCGACACACAAGCCCAGGCGACGGGCGGCGACGCGGCGGCGACGAGGCGGCGACTGCCGGCACGGAGCCGCCAAACCAGCACACAGGCCCAGTTCTCTAGAACAAGAGTAAGAACTCCTAAGTACAAGCACTACTTGAGGAAGATTGCGCCGCATAGATTGCACCACAAAGACCGCACCGCACACATTCTCGTTTCTAAATGAGAACTAGGACCTACCCCCAGGGTTAACGGGCCACCTTTTGGTATTGCAATTTGCGTATGGTTCTGCCCTACTGTCCATCCTAATTATGAATTCGTACCATCCCAGGCAGGCTGGTATCGACCACCCTCGCCACAGCGCGCTTCTCGCCGCTCGCGTGGCGGGCAGGCGTTGGACTTTTCGCAGGCTCTTCCGCTTGAGGGCGGCCACCTCTCCAATGTGCAAAGTTTGCCTTCAGGGGCCAGGCGGCTCCCTGCATCGAATGCCCAGGTGTGATTTCAACCAGCTCTCCAGGTATGCCCTTGGGCCCGAAGAAGTCACGGCCGCGGGGGTGGCGTTTGAGGTGGCAGACCCCCTGCGGCTTCGGTGCCTTGTCGATGCAGGAATCCGCCGTCGGCCTCTCATCTTTCAGCAGCAGATCTCCTTCAGTGACAGGCCTCTGGTCGGAGGGCCGCTCATGGGGCCGGCCGCCGTCGATGGGCCCATGCTGGGCCCTGACCTCCCGGCACGTTCGAGGGGAGCTGGGCCGTCGTATCAGTCGACCACTGCGGTCAGTCAGGGGGCGTTTTCTGGCCCTCTCCCCACTGCCTGCTGAGACATAGGGCTGGCGGAGTTATGGGCGGTCAGCCAGTCTTTGCGCGTGTGCCAGTCGCCTCTCACGACCATTGCCGACTGTCAGGCGACCCTTGACCAGGTCGCTGCTGGACGGGCCAGATGCGCCCATCCCTTGCGGGCTTACTCGGAGGTGTGGCATCGGAGGTTGGGGGTTAGATCGCAGTGGAACGGAGACCCCCAACCGGGAAATCGTTTCGTTTCGTTCGTGTTGCGCGTGCGGGCGAGGCGAAGCTGCGTGGGCGCGCGAGAGGAATGAAACCGCCGTTGCTAGTGCGAAGTGAAGACAAATGATTCTCCCCCGCCCGTCCGGCGGTAGCTCGCGGTGTCCCGCGGTGTCCCGTGGTGTCCCGTGGTGTCCCGTGGTGTCCGCCGCTGCTAGGGCGAAATCAAGATAAATGATTGTCCCCCGCCCGTGCGGCGGTGGCTCGCGGTGTCCCGCGGTGTCCCGTGGTGTCCCGTGATGTCCCGTGGTGTCCGCCGTTGCTAGGGCGAAGTCAAGACAAATGATTCTCCCCCGCCCGCCCGTCCGTCCGTTCGTCCTGCGGTGGCTCGCGGTGTCTCGCGGTGTCCCGTGGTGTCCCGTGGTGTTCCGTGGCGTCCCGTTGAGTGAGATCGATAGTGAGATCGATCGTGAGATCGATACTGAGATCGATATTGAGATCGATACTGAGATCGATGTCGTGTCCCGAGGCGTCCCGTGGTGTCCCGTGGTTTCCCGTGGCGTCCCGTTGAGTGAGATCGATAGTGAGATCGATCGTGAGATCGATACTGAGATCGATATTGAGATCGATACTGAGATCGATGTCGTGTCCCGAGGCGTCCCGTGGTGTCCCGTGGTTTCCCGTGGCGTCCCGTTGAGTGAGATCGATAGTGAGATCGATCGTGAGATCGATACTGAGATCGATATTGAGATCGATACTGAGATCGATGTCGTGTCCCGTGGTGTCCCGTGGTGTCCACAAAAGTGAGATCGTTAGTGAGATCGACAGGTGTCCCGTGGTGTCCCGTGGTGTGCCGCGGTGTTTCGTTGGGTGAGATCGATACTGAGGTCGATACTGAGATCGATGTGGTGTCCCGAGGTGTTCCGTTGTGTCCCGTGGTGTCCACAAAAGTGAGATCGTTAGTGAGACGACAGGTGTCCCGTGGTGTCCCGTGGTGTGCCGCGGTGTTTCGTTGAGTGAGATCGATAGTGAGATCGATACTGAGATCGCTGTGGTGCCTCGAGGTGTCCCGTGGTGTCCCAAAAAGTGAGATCGATAGTGAGATTGATAAGGAGATCGACAGGTGTCCCGCGGTGTCCCGCGGTGTTTCGTTGGGTGAGATCGATACTGAGATCGATACTGAGATCGATACTGAGATCGATGTGGTGTCCCGAGGTGTTCCGTTGTGTCCCGTGGTGTCCTATGGTGTCCCGTTGAGTGAGATCGATAGTGAGACCGATAGTGAGATCGAGAGGTGTCCCGTGGTGTCCCATGCTGGCCCGTGGTGTCCTATGGTGTCCCGTTTAGTGAGATCGATAGTGAGATCGATACTGAGATCGAGAGGTGTCCCGCGGTGTCCCGTGGTGTCCCGTGGTGGCCAGCGGTGCCTGTTGGTGTCCCGTTGAGTGAGATCGATAGTGAGACCGATATTGAGATCGACAAGTGTCCTGCGGTGTCCCGTGGTGTCCCATTGAGTGAGATCGTTAGTGAGATCGATTGAGTCAGATGTTGCTTCCCCCCCTCTCCCCCCCACAACCTCCTTATCGCCCGAAGGGTGGTCGTATAGGTAGTATGCGATTTGCACCTGAAGATGTCGGGCCCGACTCCTTCGAGGTTTTTTGGGGTCCCGCCCATCAGCCGTGGGCGGGGGCTCAGAGACGCAGAGTTGCCTGGCTTCACGGATGATAGGCTCCACCGTCATGGCCATGCTTGGTAAGCCGCCCGCCTCTTTGCTTAATTTTCGGGACGTGTCCTCCAGAGGCTGTCCGAGGCTGGCTTTCCGGAGGTCGAGAAGCCCCGTTTGCGACGGGCGGCGGGCCCTCTCGATTTAGAATCTACCCCCCGAGGTCACAAGCTCAAGCGTCTCTCTCGGGTCTTGGGGTGCGTGGCTTCTGGAAAGTCGGCCCGGACACTGTTGTTGTCATTGCCAGGTTTTGTCCGGGGGCCTATGACATCCTGAGTCGTGCCCGTCCGTCTCTTCGGTTGTGGTGGGCGGGTCAAGGGACCAGCGGCATGTTCTGGTGCTCGAAGTGCGGTTCGCATGGAGCCCGTCAGATTCCTAAGATTGGCAGAAAGCGTTGCCCGCCCACCGCTTGGGGGCCCCGTTGTCTTAGAGCCCTCAGACAGGGCGAGTTCCTGCCTCGTTGTTTCCCCGCTTCCGTGCCCTCCGAGCCTCGGGATACGCAGCTGGAACAGTACAATTATCCCAGAGCGACCCTACCTAGATGTTGGAGCCCCGAGGAGAGCAATATTAGTAGTAACGATAAACGCCGTCCTCCTCCTTCTCCTCATCGTCGCAGTTGTAGCAGTAGCGGTAGTAGTAGTAGTAGTAGTAGTAGTAGTAGTAGTAGTAGTAGTAGTAGTAGTAGTAGTAGTAGTAGTAGTAGTAGTACAGCTTAATACCTATGATATGCTATGTTATGCTATGCTGCGTTATGCTATGTTATGTTGTGCTATGCTATGCTGCGCTATGCTACGCTATGCTATCCTATACTATGATTTGAGGGAGTTTCTGTGGAACTCACGTCATCCTCACCCCCGGCGCGAAGAGCACGAGTCCAGAGCGGCCTCCGGCACCGTTTCCGGACGGATCCGGACGGATCCGCTGGATCCGGGGACGAATCCCAAACCGGCGCCCTCGCCTGAGACATCCCCGCAAAACCGGCCCCGGGGGAGGTGCCCACAGGAGCCCAGAGCGGCCTCCTGGCACCGTTTCCGGACGGATCCGGACGGATCCGCTGGATCCGGGGACGAATCCCAAACCGGCGCCCTCGCCTGAGACATCCCCGCAAAACCGGCCCCGGGGGAGGTGCCCAGAGGAGCCCAGAGCGGCCTCCGGCACCGTTTCCGGACGGATCCGGACGGATCCGCTGGATCCGGGGACGAATCCCAAACCGGCGCCCTCGCCTGAGACATCCCCGCAAAACCGGCCCCGGGGGAGGTGCCCAGAGGAGCCCAGAGCGGCCTCCGGCACCGTTTCCGGACGGATCCCGGATCCGCTGGATCCGCTGGATCCGGGACGAATCCCAAACCGGCGCCCTCGCCTGAGACATCCTCACAAAACCGGCCCCGGGGGAGGTGCCCAGAGGAGCCCAGAGCGGCCTCCGGCACCGTTTCCGGACGGATCCGGACGGATCCGCTGGATCCGGGGACGAATCCCAAACCGGCGCCCTCGCCTGAGACATCCCCGCAAAACCGGCCCCGGGGGAGGTGCCCAGAGAAGCCCAGAGCGGCCTCCGGCACCGTTTCCGGACGGATCCGGACGGATCCGCTGGATCCGGGGACGAATCCCAAACCGGCGCCCTCGCCTGAGACATCCCCGCAAAACCGGCCCCGGGGGAGGTGCCCAGAGGAGCCCAGAGCGGCCTCCGGCACCGTTTCCGGACGGATCCGGACGGATCCGCTGGATCCGGGGACGAATCCCAAACCGGCGCCCTCGCCTGAGACATCCCCGCAAAACCGGCCCCGGGGGAGGTGCCCAGGAGCCCAGAGCGGCCTCCGGCACCGTTTCCGGACGGATCCGGACGGATCCGCTGGATCCGGGGACGAATCCCAAACCGGCGCCCTCGCCTGAGACATCCCCGCAAATCCGGCCCCGGGGGAGGTGGCCAGAGAAGCCCAGAGCGGCTTCCGGCACCGTTTCCGGACGGATCCGGACGGATCCGCTGGATCCGGGGCGAATCCCAAACCGGCGCCCTCGCCTGAGACATCCCCGCAAAACCGGCCCCGGGGGAGGTGCCCACAGGAGCCCAGAGCGGCCTCCGGCACCGTTTCCGGACGGATCCGGACGGATCCGCTGGATCCGGGGACGAATCCCAGGCCGGGGAGGGGGAGAACCACAAGGAGAAGGATGAGGAGGAGGAGGAGGGGAGAGCACGAGGACGAGGAGGACGAGCAGGACGAGGAGGCCGAGGACGAGCACGAGCACGAGGAGGAAAAGGAGGGGGAGCAGGAGAAGGAGGACGAGCAGGAGGAGCACGAGGACGAGCACGAGGAGGAGGACGAGGAGGACGAGCAGGAGGAGGAGGACGACCAGGAGGAGGAGGAGGAGGACGAGGAGGGGGAGGACCACCAGGAGGAGGAGGAGGAGGGAAGGAGGAGGAGGACGAGGAGGGGAGGGCGGCCGGCTGCCCCGGCCGGCTGCCCCGGCCGGCTGTCCCGACCGGCCGCGCCTGCGCCCGGCCGCGGAGTGCGGTCAAGGGAAGGATTCTTGCATGAACTATTGTACTTGCATATCTGAAGGGCTGATGGCCTCCCTGGACGGCTCCGTGCGCCCTTCTCGGGAGCCCCTCGGACGAATTATTCGGGCCTCCTGTTCGCCACGTCGGGCCTTCCTGGGGGACGGGTTTTCTTGGTGGGTTCTCCGTGGTCTTCTTGGTGGACAGACATGGGCCTCTCATATGTGCGCGCCGACTTAGGGCGACGCATGTGCCTGGTCCAGCACGCGCGGTACCCCCGGGGAGGGGTTGCGGTTTGGCCAGATTGTGAGGACGCTTCAGAGCGGAACGCCCCTCCACATCCTTCCTGATCCCTCACTCATTTCAACCCACGCTCCCTCAGGTGCACACTGCCGGCGCCAGCGCGAAGATAAGAGGCACCTGGGGGGCGCCCCGTTCCGCGAATCCCACTGCAGAGCGGGGATCTCGACCCCCCAATGGGATTCGTGGAGCGGGGGGGGCCTTGGGGGGCCCAAACTTTTTTTGGGGCGGGGGGGGCTGCCCCGTTCCCTCGGATGGGCACAGCCCCCCCCTCGCCGGCCTCCTCTCCTTGATCCCTCCTCCTAACGTAACGCGCTCGCTTTAAGTTAATGCATGCGGCCTTCGGTGCCGCGTTATGGCATCACGGCGCAGCAAAGACGGATCTGGGGAAGGGGTCGGGACTTTTTCGGGCCGTTGGGGCAGGAGGAGGAGGAGGAGCAGCAGCAGTAGCAGGGGGGTTCCGGAGGATTGGGAGGAGGAGGAGGAAGAGGAGGCGGAGGAGGAGGAGGAGGAGGAGGAGGAGGAGGAGGAGGAGGAGGAGCAGGAGCAGGAGGCGGAGGAGCAGGAGGAGGCGGATGAGGAGGAGGAGGAGGAGGACGGGGAGGAGGCGACGGGGGACGAGGAGGGAGATGAAGAGGAGGAGATAGAGGGGAAGACAGAGGAGGATGCGGAGGACGTGGTGGAGGACGAGGAGGAGGGGGAGGAGGAGGAGGAGGAGGAGAACGAGCAAGAGGAGGAGGAGGCGGCGGAGGGCCCTGATCTCCGAGGGTGCGAATCTTTCAACCCTGGTGCGTTTCCTCGGTTTCGGCCTTCGGTGCCGCGATCTGGCATCATGACACAGCAAAGACGGATCTGGGGACGGGGCTGGGACTCTTTGGGGCCGTGGGGGCCGAGGATGTGGTATGAGGAAGAGCAGGCGGAGGAGGACGAGGAGGCGGAGGAGGAGGAGGCGGAAGAGGAGGACCCGGGTGCGGGAGGAGGAGGAGGAGGAGGAGGTGGAGGACCAGGAGTGCGATGAGGAGGAGGAGGATGGACAGGAGTAGGAGGAGGAGGAGGAGGAGGAGGAGGAGGAGGAGGACAAGGAGGAGGATGCGGTAGGACGATGATGAGGACGAGGAGGAGGACGAGGAGGAGGAGGAGGAGATTTCTCGGGGCGCGCGATTTTCGCTGACTTCTCACCGCTGGGTCGCCCCCTCGCGAGCCTCGCCCAGAAGCGCGCGCCCCTTCTTCTCTCGATCGTTTCCCTCTCGCCCAGAAGCGCGCGCCCCTTCTTCTATATATACAGAAACTCCCGATCAACCGCAGAGCGGCGGATGTTAATGTTATGCTGCGCTATGCTATGCTATGCTATGCTATGCTAGGCTGCGCTGTGCTATGCTAGGCTGCGCTGTGCTATGCTGTGCTGTGCTGTGCTGTGCTATGCTAATGCTGCGCTAAGCTAAGTTGGGCTAAGCGAAGCGAAGCGAAGCTAGGCTAGGCTAGGCCAAGCTAAGCTAAGCGAAGCTAAGCTAGGCTAGGCTAAGTTAAGCTAGGCTAAGCTAAGATGAGATATGCAACGCTAAGCTAAGGGGGTGCAACTGGGGGAACCGCGGGGCGGATGCCGGGGGAACCGCCCGGGGCGGTTTACACTGGCCGGCCCCTTTAAGTTTATAAAGTAAGAACCCTTCTAGGCAGATCCTAGGTAGGGAATAAAGTCAACAAAACGATCAGTGTGAATGATCTGCAGACGGCAATGCCCAAAGAGGATCAAAATTTGGGATTCGCCTTTCAATGTTGGTTGGCAGCGTGCGCAGGCGTGAACTATGGGCCAGCTCATTGATATGCCACATTGTGGCGTGCGCGCCCAGTGGCACCATTTGGAGGCAGACGCCACTTAATGCCCGGGTGCTCTTCCAAGTTGATCATTCACAGGGCCGCTGGCGTGGGCGGTTCCACGTTCTGCCCTGCGGTTCCGTTCCCACCAGTCGGATGGCTAACATGCAACGCGCAATGCAGACGATACGTTTTTCCGTAACGGTCACAGGCGGATGCCACCCGCCTGGTCTGATTCAGCATCTTTTCGGCTTCCAGACCTGTGCAATTTGTGTTATATTTTTCACGGGGATGTACAGGGACTTTCTGCTGTCACGGACGCAACACCCGCCCCGAAATACGTCCTCGATCACTACGAATCTTCTTCTTTGGCCTATGGCCCGCAAGCTTCGCCGTTTGCGGTGAGGCGGGCCCCTGCGGCGGCGGAGGTGGCACTCGTGCCACCCGCGGCGGGCGTTCGTGTTGGTCCCCCTGCGGTGGCGGAAGTGATATTCGCGCCACCCTCGGGGGGGGGCCTCCGCGCACATGTTGCGGTTCCTTCATGGGGCCGCCTCCATTGATGTGGAAGGTGGAAAAGGGACGACGAAGACGACGACGACGACGAGGACGACGACGAGGGGGAGGGTGGAAGAGGAGGCAGGAGGAGGAGGCAGGAAACAAGAGGACACAGGATGAGACAGGTGGGGTGGACGAGGAGGAGTTTGAAAAAGTGGGAGGAAGTACCAGGACACATGAAGGGGGGTGGGAGCCCGCCGGGTCGCCGGCCCGGCAAGGGCCCTCCCCGCTCCCAGGGGCCGCTGGCGGGGCCCTGGCCTGAGGCAGGCAAGTTCATGTGATTCGATATGGGATCGATGTTGGCTGGCCCGATCCGATTCGATACCGATCGTCGGACGAAGTTGCGCGGCCAGGTGTTCCCGTGGTGCTCTTGTGCTTCCCAGCGTAGCCAGTCCGATTCGACTTCGCGTCCGTAGTGGACAGGGGAGCAGAGGGAGAACTGGGAGCTGGTCCTGATTTCTAGACGTCCCGAAAAAAAAGGACCACACATGCACCAACGTCCTATTTCGTCAATGCTCGATCAAGAATATTCGATCCTCGATCGTCGAGGAGGGGAGATTGCGAGAGGGAGACGGATGTCCCGAAGGGCTTGACGATTCTTCTTGAATCGACGTGAGGGGACGCACCCAGATATATCGAGGTAAGCTTACGCAAATCGAAGTACATCCTAACCGGTCGAGGTGGGTCCAGAGATGTCCAAATCATATGGAAGAAGGGAAGCTCCAGCGCGAGTCGAGGGACAGCAGAAGTCGTCACGTCCTTGACGAGGACGGGGCCTCGCCAGACGGTGAGGTGACGCCGCAGGGCGACTACAGACTCGGCGCCTTCGAGCTTTGCAGGAAAGGCGCAGACGCCGCGTCGATGATAGCCGGCAGGCGCCCGGGGGGGGCCAGTCGGCGCCGCGCCTGAGACAAAGCGCCCGGCTTGGAGTCAGTCGGGTGGGTCAGCGAACATTGAGATACATCCGAGGTGGGGATTTATTCATAACCACCGCCTGGGGGATCGATCTTCGGAGACCTCGGCAGGCGGTGGAAATGGAGTTCTTCGGGCGCCTGGGGCCAAACTGTATCTATAGGTCCTGGATACGGACACATCCCCGCCTCGGAATACATCCGGAACTTCGGGATGAGGCTCGCAGACGATTTCTCGCGCCCAATCCGAGCTCCCCCCCAGAAGTACATGCCGCTCGGACATGAAGGGTAACCCATGGATACACCCACAGGGGGCTATTCCGACGCACCCCTATCGAAGACGGACACCCCTCATCGTATATCCCAGAGTTGGGGCCCAAACGTTTCGCCCAGTCGAACGTCACACACAGCTGGCTGAGCGCCCAGCTTTGAATCCAGTGCGTTGCCACTTGGCTTAGTGGAGGAAGCATTCCTGTGCCTCCCCTTCCTTTTCTTTGCTCGGCATTAGCTTAGGAAGTGCGCGCACGTTTAAGGACGCCTGGGAAGTTCCTCGGCGGGGATCGCTCGATGCAATCAGATCGGGACTGGGAGCGGGGGAAGAGAACGTAGGGAAGGAGGAGCGAGGATGAGGAACCCGAGGAGGAGATCCGGCGGGGGGGCGGGGGGAGGAGGAGGAGGAGGAGGAGGAGGAGGAGGAGGAGGAGGAGGAGGAGGAGGAGGAGGAGGGCGCGACGGAGGCGAGCTGCACGCGCGGGCGCAGCTGGGCGGGACTGGAGGGGGCAGGCGGAGGGCGGGACGGCCGGAGCGCCCCTCGGGCTCCTTCTCTTGCTCCGATTAAACCAGGCCTGTCCAAGCTGAAAGTGCACGAGCGCGCGAATGGTGTCAGCGTGGTCTGTCTCAGGTGCGAACGTTGTCAGCTTGGTCCCAGGTGGTCAGTGGCCGGTGCCAGTTCGATCTCTCGAGCGAGGGACATCGTCGAGCCTGCTTTGCCGCCCATTGGGGCCCTCCTCCACAGACATGCGGGTTGCGCCAGTCACCAGGGGCCACTCGAAATAGAACAGGAGCCGCCAGAGTGCACCCGGGCGATGGTTGCAGCAACTGGTAATCCCCTCGTTCTCCTCCTCCTCGGGAGGCTGCTCGCGTCGTTGCCTGCGCCTCCTCCGCCTCCTCCGCCTGAAGAGCGCTGGCTTTACGGGCCCCTAGGGGAGCTTGGCGGCGACTGCTTCACGTATGGTGGTTTGTTTGAATCGAAGCTTGCTCCCATCGCGCGCTCGCTAGGACGGTCCCTGGTCTCTCTGCGATGCCCCTGCCGATTGAGCGTGCGAAGCGCGCGAAGCGTGGCGGGGAGACTTCCAACAGCATTCTATGACACTGACGCGTGTGAACTCTGGGCCTTTCTGATGGGCCTTAGGCAGGCTCTCGCTTGGGTGACCTTTTGGACCGACTCCAGTTTTGTGTTTCAGGGCGTCTGGGAGAGGGCCCCCTTTTTTTGCTGCTCCGACGTGTCCGCGTGTGCCGACGATTGGAAGCTAGTTCAACTGCGACTAAGGAAAGTCGCAGTGCACACCACCAGGTCAGATGTTCTCTCGGGAGTTGTGCCCGCTCGAGCTCAGGTTGGCAATCCGCCTGCTGATATTTATTGCCAGACAGGCCGCCGAGTGCACCAGAGTCTCCGCGCAGTACCGTGGGCGATTCAAGTGTCAGTTCAAAGTTGCCAGCACTCCCACGCGCTGGGTCGGCCCGGCGGGGCCGCCGATGGCCGATCTTGATTGCGCGCATTCCTCCATCCCATCGCAGCCAGAGGCCAGCGTTTTCATGTAATTCCTCCTCCGCCCGTGACCTCGTCGGTTGAAAAGTCGTGCCGATGTTGCGGTCGCTGCCCCTCGGAGAGGGGGGGAGGCGGGGGGGCGCTTCGTGCTCTGTGCGGGGCTGGAGGGGCCACGCTTTGCAAGCAGTTTCGGGGGCCGTGCCCGCCTGTCCCCACCGTCTGTTGCCAACGTGCTCGGCGAGGCCTCGAGCAGGGCAAGTCTAAGCAGGGCGAGGAGTGGACAGACCTCACCGGGCCAAGGCGCCCTGCCGATGTGGTGAGAAACGGTCCGGGCGTGGACCCTGGCCGCCCTCGGAGAAGGCACCTTGTCGCTGTCCCTCCGACCGGATGTCGCCCCCAGTCGGGGGTGACAAACAGGTCGTTCTGAGGTGTGTTTTCCCGAGATTGTTGCTGTGATCGGGGGCCCGTGGGGACCTCATGAGCTCCTATGGTGGAGGAGGAGGAGGAGGAGGAGGAGGAGGAGGAGGAGCAGCAGCAGGAGCATCAGGAGGAGAGGAGGAGGAGGAGGAGGAGGAGCAGCAGGAGGAGGAGGAGGTCGACGGCCGCGGTTGCGGCGGCAGCGACGGCGACGGTAGGAGCCTTCGGCCCCAAAAGGGGGAGGTCGGCGCGCGGCCAGCAGCGTCAGCAACTGGAATAGTAATGCAGGACGAAAGATTTTCTTGTTCAGGTGCAAATGGCGATGATGAGTTGGAAGATAATGACCGAGCCCCCCTCCCCCGTAGAATCGTAACACGGGGTCGGCGTGCGGTCAGCAGCGTCAGCAACCAGAACTTGTTGCGGGGAGGATTTGCCATAATAGCCTTATCCCCCATCAGCAGGAGGGGAAACAACACACCGACACAATTAATCGTCGATTCCCAGGAAAATATGGAAAAATATGGAAAGTGCGGGGGAAGGTAAAAACCAAGAATATCTTGGAAAATATAAGGGAATCCTGGGATTCGTGTGTATTTATTTGTGTGTCCCTGGGCCCCTTGATATCCGTATGAGTGGCATCGCCGTATCTTGTTGGCGACATCGACGAGGCCCCCTCCAATCTTACGAGGGCGTTCCCTTCGTACTGCTTCGCCTTGAGCCTGCCCCTGCTGGGGGTAGGGATGAGTGGTTAAGGCCAAGGTTGAGCAGGAAGGGGGACGGCGGAAGGGGGGAGGGGGAACGGGGAGGGAAGGTGGGCGGGAGGGAGAGGGGAGGGCGGAGGGGGGCGAGGAGGGTTTCTAGGAGGCGCGCGCGCCCGTTGCCAGGCGGAGGAGCGGCCCAAGCGTCATGGGGCTGCCGGACCCGCCCGCCCACCTCGCGGATGCCACCGCGCCCACGCAGGCCGCGGCCCGCCGTCCCTCTGGCGCCGTCGCCTCCTGGTGTGCGATGCTGCGCCTGCTGAGGCCCCTGCCGGTGCTTGGCCTTCCTGGGCCAGGTGATGTTCAGCCACGAGGGGACTCGTGCTGGCCCCACCATGCAGTGCGGCATCGTCACTTCAGGGAGAATCCAGGTACCCATTTGTCGCTGGAAGTCGGTATTTTTGGATGCCCAGATTGCAGTCGGAGCCGCATGGTTTTCCCTCATCATTCCTCTTCGGGGGCGGACGGAAGCCCAAGATAGTTTCAACGTCTTTCTACTACATGTTCCAACCCAGTTCTTCCGACCGGTGGGCGGACTCCTCCCGCGGCGCCGCGCGCGGCAAGCGCCATGGGCGGCCCAAGGCTCCAGCTTCAAGTCTGAGGCCTGCCCTTTCCGAGGCCTGCCTCGCAGCCTGACGAGCCGGCGGACGCCGCGTCCGCCACCGCCTCCTGCGGCCGTTCCCCGTGCCTGCCGCGTCCCGCTGCTCCTCCTCTTGGAAGTCTTCCTTCTGTCTGTTGCAGTATCGACGTCGGCTCCAGAGCTCCAGAGGCGTGCGTTGTCGTCGTCGCCGTCTTCCCCCTCCTCCTCCTCCGCCTCCTCCTCCTCGGAGGAGGAGGAGGGGGATGCAGTGACAGTGGAGGAGGAAGATGGCGGAGGAGGGGGGCAGGGGCAACCACGACGACGACGGCGACGGCTGGAGCTGTCGCTGTCGACCCCGAGCGGAAGGAGGAGCAGGAGTAGCAGCCGGAGGATGAAGTGGAGGATGGATAGGTCTGGACGAAAGGGGCGACAGGCAAGAGGGGGAGGCGGGGTACGAAGTCTGCCTCGTGCAGCTGGTCTCGCCTCCGCCTTCGGGCGCTTCTCTTGTGGCGCCTCCTGCGCCAGGAGCGATTGGCGGCGCGCAAAAGGGGGTAGGGGGAGGGGGGAAGGCTTCTTAGAAGCACCCTGCTTCTTAGGAGGCCTCGGCCTTACGTCTATGAGAAGGCCCGCGCCTTCTAAGAAGCAGGGGTGCTTCTAAGAAGCCTTCCCCCTCCCCCTGCCCCCCTCTGCGCGCCGCCAAAGCGAGGTGCCGGAGAGATCAGCTGCGCGAGCTGATGTGTGGCCCCCCGCTCTGCTGACCCTCCCCCTGTCGTCCGACCCGGGAGGGACGTCGGTATCGTTTCACCGATCCCCATCCCCATCCCCATCCCCTTCGAGATCCCCACCAAATTACCGCCCCGGTTGGGGACACACCCGAAGAAGCCCGAAGGGAACGACCTGTATCCCCATCTAGGTGGGCAAATCGGCCAGTGGGGCCCCGGGCCGCGCCGCTGGGGATGGGGATCGGTTACACGATGCTCAAGGAACGGGCGGAGGGCCGCCCCACGAGGGTGGCCGGTGTGGGCCCCCGCGCACCAGCGGATCGCGGCGGGCCGGGAGGCCTCGTCGAGCGGGCATCGG